ATCTCCGTATTAAGCCATGTGTGGTAGTGCACACTAGTCCTACGTTTGTGGAGGTAGTCAGTATGAGGAAGTCAAGGCCAGGCTGGACTGCATAGTGAGTCCATCCCCCCAAATGTCCCTATGTTATTATAATCTTAATTTTATAAAGGCCAGGCAATATGTTTTCTGTTTTATCTGTTTATATTCCTTATAGTCTTCCAAAATCCCCCTTAAGAATTTCAGTTTAGGCTGCATTTTGCCTTTTTAGTATTTATGCACCATCTAGTGATCCAAATTGTTACTGCAAGCTTATCTGGCTCCTCAGTGCCTCAGGGGATTTTCGCCATTTTACACTTTAGAATGAGTCACAGAAACCAGTGCAGTGTAAAGAAACATTTATCTTGCTTATTGCACCTAACCTAACCTAACATCACTTCTTGAGATATCATTGAACATTCAGTTCTGTGGTTTTGTGACTTATTCCTACTTCTGTTACATTCTATATATGTTTTCTTTCATGTGTTTCTTGTCTTCTGGTCTTTATTTCATTCAGTGTCTCCAGTAAGGTCATCATTAATAAGTTTCATTCCATACAGATAGCCTTTCTATTTCAATATTTTTTTCACATTCATAGCAAGTAAGGCTGGTCATGAGAGCCGACTTCATGAATTTTCACATGTACTAAATGTATTTCACATCTTCATGGGAGCAAAATTTTACTTTACAATTATATATGTTAAGAATCTAGTAGTTTGAGGATTTGTGATGTCCAGTTCTAAGTCTCATTTTTAATTTCTTGTTTCTAAGTGATTGAAATCTCTGATTATTTAATATTCTTTTTAAAGTCTTGTTTTAATTGTGTGTGTGTGTGTATACACATGAGTGCAGGTACACATGGAGGGCAGAAACATCATGTGTCCCCAGAGTTACAGGTAGATGTGAGCTTCCCAAAGTAGGTGTTGGGAACCAAAGTCTCATCCTCTGAATGACATGATTTTAACCACTGAGCCATCTAGCCCCTACTCTGTATCCAAAATGTATAGCTTTCTTGTATAGCACTGCCTCCCAGGAGAGCTGGTAATTGCAGAGCCTGTGTGTAACTATGTTGTGTCCATAGTGGGTGTAAATGAGTAGGTCTCATGAACAGGAAATATCTTTTTCATTTCTTTTATATGCACCATGGAAGATAGTAAAATGCATATAGTCAGTGCTTCGTGGGTGTATGTAGAATGAAGGGATGCTAAGAACTAAAAGAAAACAGATGTAGCCACTGCCTGTACAGAGTACACAGTAGCAGCTTTTAGTAGGTTCTCAACAAATACTTGAGTCAATGGCTTTCTGTTGCTCTCCATTATCTGGACCTTCCAGCCTGACGTCTATTCTTTTCCTACCTCCCCTTACCCAAGTTCTCATCTCCCACATTTCCTGCTAAATATATGGTGTCTCTTATAACCCTATGGGTTCAAATTTACCCAGCCATAAGTCTTTTTAGTATGTGTGTGCCACATAGTGATCAAAAGGTAACTGAAAAGTTTTAATGGACCCTAAGAGAGTCTTAAGCACCAGCATGACTCCTAACTCCCAGTAAACCAGAAGTTATGCTTCACTGTCTCATGTTCTTCCTGATTGTCCCACCATAGGAACTTTGTACACACGCTTACGTCTTTTCATTATGTGTGTCACATCTGTGACCTTTGCTGGAGGGAAAGTGTTCCCTTGAGCTCTCAGACTAGGTCATGTACCTGTTAAGTGCTTTCATGGCAGTGATAGCTTGATTTGAGTCACACTTCTTATGCTTATTTGTATGATTGTTAGAGTTGTTTCCTTTTTTATTCACTAGACTAATATCTAGCATGTAGCCCAATGCCTGGCACAGAAAGACATCTTTCATCTTTGTTGAGTGAATGAATGGACATAGTGCTCTTCTGTGCCTCATGGACACTGAAGAGACTGATGTCAGTCAACTAGTGTAGGATACTTTGTTATGAGTTGTTTAACTCATGAAATAAATACTCAACAGAAACTACCTGCTATGTGTGCAGATGTTCAATTATTCAGGAAATAACAGCCTATTCCAAAAGTTAAGTTTATATTAAAGAATAAAACCATCATAGATATTATTTAGCTAATTAAGTAATAATGAAGAATCCAATGATCTGGTACAAAAGACAGTTCAGAAGCCAGCCAGGAGTACAGAAGTACTGACCGCTGCAGAAGCCAGTGGTCTACAGTGTGATAATTATGTCTTCATTGGACATAGGTTAACAGCCACAGAAAGGAAAACAATTGTAAATCAGTTTCATTTCTGTTCCTAAAATTCTTCTATGAATATCTTTTATAAAATACACTGCTTAGTAGCATCTCTTTACAGAAATTGATAGAACTTTTGTCTAGGTAGGAAATAAGAAACTCCAGTTTTCCTGTAAAGCTCATGTCATGACTTAAGTGGTGCTGATTGTGGAAAGAATACTTAGAACTGAAAATAGTTGAAGCTGTAATACCCTCAGGCAGCTCTAGACTGTAAATCTCTGCAACAGGGACTTGTAGCACATAAGAGTAAGACACTGCCTCCTCTCTGATTGTAGTTCCTATTTTGGACTACATGTGTGACTTTGGACAAATTATGAAATGTTTCTGGGTGACCTCCAGATTTATGGCAGGGTTCATAAGGCTCTGAGCTGTTTAGTAGAAAGACAACCATTCCCAGAACCTAGCCCTGTGTGTATATGACAGGTATTGCTTTGCAAAGTATTCTACAAATAACCTATTTATTTATTGTTTAATGATCTTGTATTCATTCTTAAATAGTAATGATTTTAACAAGTAGAAAAAAGTTTCAGCTCCTTTGTAGTTTTGCTTATTTGATTTTAAAATTTGATTGTTCCATTAGAAAATTGTAGCCAAAAGCTAAACATGAGAGCCACTGTCACCATGCTAAGTTCAGTGCAATAATAATGACATCTATTGAAACAAAGCATTGTATTTTGTGAGTTTGAGGAGAGAGTGAGATTGATTTTTTTCCCCTCAGAAACAATGTTGTGAGTGCTGGTTTTATCCTAGGACATTCTGAAAATTCACTTAACTCAAGACCTTCAACTTATATGGTGAAGGGACATTGTGGTTTTAGGCCCCCAATGATTTCTAACCATTAGACTTGCAGGGAGCTCATTACACATTGCAAGCAGAGGGTACAAATGCATATTTCTGTACTCATTTCTTATTGCTGCCATGCAGGAGCCATAGCACTGAGGAGTGAGCAGGTAGAGATCAGTCTTAATAGTTCCAGAAATTTGCTGATTCTGTGCAGATGCGATGAGTGAGGATAGCCCTATGGATTGGGAGATTAAAATAGGAAGACGAGAAGTTACTCCTTTATGGAACTGTGATTGAAGTCTCCAAATTCAAGTTTACTGCTTACTACCCCTAAGGATGGTATAGTCTTGAGCACCATGGCACCAGACTCTGGCCTCTGAGTGCCTTGTCTGCTTGGCAACCCCAAGGGTCTTTTCTGAGGTCATGTCAGGGAAGACATGATCAGAAAAATTTATGTTCAAACATGTAATAGTAAAGAAATCCTCAGGTGTCCTTCATACAGCTCTAACAATGATAAACCCAAGGTGAGTCTCATCCCTTTTCCTCCACCATATTTTTTTGAAATAAAACCCATACAGTATATTCTTTAATCTGTGAGTGTCTTAAAGCATTTATCTCAAAGATAAGGACTTTAAAAATCAGAATCCAAAGAAGAGATAGCTTAAACACAGTAATAACTACGGTGGGTTGAACCACACCAAATATGGACAAATCATGACAACATTAAGAAGTAACCTCATGTCTTATCTTTAGAGATTGCTTGGGCACTAGCTCATTGCTCTGAAAAGTTCAAACAAAAGGAAGGAATCAGTGACTTACTCTGGGTTGTGTGTGTGTCTGTCTGTCTGTCTGTGTGTGTGTGTGTGTGTGTGTGTGTGTAATTGTATTTTGGGGGTAGCTAAATAAATTTCTTAATAGAATGCTAACAAATAAAGAGGGAATGCTCTATAATAATTATGCAACCTCAAGAAAGAATGGATTTTGTCACTGGTTATCATAAGCTGCTGGAGCTATAGAGTGAAAAGTTGATGAGGAAATTTGTGATTAGTGGATAGGCTAGCCACATCTGTAGCCATTTGTCAGTATTGGTTCTACCAAACTGGACAGCTGAACATTATGTGTCTACTGATGTGTGATATAAAAAAAAAAAGTCACATATAACCACCGATGGCTTATACTTGCCAAAAATAAGTACCAGCCAGCTGGAAAAGGAGTCTAAGCCTGTAGATATACTGCCAGCTTGCCCGGAAATGAGGATGGAATAACGTTCCAGGGCACAGCTGGTACAAGTGGGTGAATTGAGAGTCCACTGAGAGACTGGAGACATGTCAGCCACCACCAGTGCTGACCTTTGGGATTCTGACCCCAGGAAATACAATAGGGGAATATTAATATGATCTGTGTAATGTAAAATATTAAAGGTTAATTGGCAATTTGTGTATATGGTTATGGTTTTTAGATTGTGTTTAAAAAAATCTTTGTTAAAAATGTATGCTAGGGCCAGCAATACTCTTCAGCATGTAGAGGCACCCACTGCTGTGCCTGATGATCTGAGTTTGACCCCTAGAACCCACATGGTGGAAGGATAGAACCAATCCCCACAAGTTGTTCTATGAGCTCCACATGTGCATTATGACATGCATGTGTATGCACAGGTGCACATGGTATGCATGTATACACACATACAAGTAAATAAATGTAAAAATATTTAAAACATTGCTAATTTAGAATAAAATATATTTGTATATATGTAGATCCCATCCCAGGGGATCTCATGCCCTTTTTTAGCCTCCATGGGCACCAGACACATACATGGTATATATACATACATGCAAACACTCATACACATGAAATAAAAATAATCTTTTCTAAAAATTGAAGACCCTTTTTAACTAATAAGTAAATTTATTATCTATTTCTCTCCCCAGGCACACTTTAAAAGGCCTCATAAGAGCCTTGATGGTGCTCTGTTTGATGATGACGATGATATTGAACAAGCAAGCAAGTAAGTCTGGCACTGTGGTGTCCTATTAAGTGGTGTGGCTTCCTACCAGGAGTTTAGGTGACAGGCTGTTTCAAAGAATGGGCACTCCTAGAACCAGGTCTTTGCTCCCTCACAGTGCCCTTCAGCAAACAGAGTAAGTACTCCTTGCAATGCTGTGAGGAGTGGGTCTCAGGACAAGGAAGTAAGATAGACTTGAAATGTCTTGTCCTTGGAAAACAGTATTGTCTACAGAGATGCCTGGGGTTGTAACAAGGGTGATACAGAGGAGCACAGCATTGACTGATGGGGACAGGTGAACTAGGGGCAGTGATAGTCACTCTGAAGCAAATAAGATATATAGTAATACAAAAGGAACATTCTCTTGTACATGAAACAAGCCTGTGTGTATAAAAGATTATGCATTCTTCTTTAAAAGAAGTAAAGAAATAAAGGAAAACCATATAAAATATAAAAAGTAAACTTGAAATGTTGTAAACTTTCTAAGTGTTCAATCTAATATTTCTAGGAAATTTCCAAATCCCATAGAATTAGACCAGATGAAAGTTTGACTTCTACATTGATGAGCCATAAGCTTTGTATTTATTTCCCTTTTATTATTTATATATGTATATATATGTGTACATATGTATATACATATGGATATATACATGTGTATACATATATATGCATATATACTTAAAATTTCAGTATCTGAAATAGATACACTCATAACTATAGATAGTTTGGCCATGAACTAGTTATTAACTTTTGTTTCCTAACCCCTCCTCTCCTCTTCTCCTCCCCCTTTTTTCTTTCCTTTTTTTCTTTTTTTCTTTTTGTTTTCCTTTCCTTTCTTGTTTTTCTTCTTTCTATGTAGCCCAGATCTGCCTCACACTAGCACTCTACCCCGGCACTGGGGTTGTAGGCTTGCACCTCCATGCCACCTCCAGTTAGTGAATTTGTTGACCCACCAAAATACCACTTTGATTAAAAGGATTTCATTAACTGAATGTAATTTGGGAGTGCAGTTGCTTCCATGCAGCCTGTGTGGGTAAATACCTACTGCTGCATGCTTTATTTTCCTTCAGGGTATCTTCTGAAGATGGTGAAGAAACCTCTGCTTATTTCTATGAAAGTGACGACTCTGTTGAAACAAGAATGAAGACTCCTTACTCAGGGGAAATGGACTTACTAGGCGAGATCCTGGACACTTTGAGCACTCATAGCTCAGATCAAGGAAAGCTGGCGGCAGCCAAGAGCCTGGATTTCTTTAGATCAGTTGATGATATTGACTATAAGCCTATGGTTAGTTGATTTTTTTTTTGTAACTTACAAAATGAAACAAAAACACTCATCCTTGCTGTGCTCACCTGAGCTGATAAGTTTGATTTGTAGTGTTCAACACCTAGGTGGGTGCACAGACTTCAAAATACAGTAAAATTAAGTCCTTATGAATTATTTCTATTAGTAAAATTCATATATTTCATTTTCCTTAATCAGTTCTAATAGATAGTATTATTAATTGACATCTTTTGACCAACAGTAATACTGAAGTCTAATTTTATGGACATCCTCTTGAAGAATTTTTTGTGAAATATTTCTCCATTTTTTTATATATAATTTCCCAGCCTTTTAAGAAAAAACATAAAACCATAATGAATATGTTCATTAAAATCTTTTGTTTTCTTTTTATTTTATTTATTTATTTACTTATTTATTTATTTATTATTTTACTTCAAAAGTGAACAGTGAAACTGAACAAGTTAAACTGAGTGCTTCAAAACCATGAGTATAGGTAGGAGCCTTGGAGCCATATTCTCTATGGAGACTCTAGAGCTTTAGGTGAATTATGTGCCCTAGTTGGGATTTGCCAGATGACAAATTAAGGACATGGAAACCCAAGTGTGTCCTATTTCATTCCTGTTCATGGAGCCATTTGGAGCTATCAGTATTCACAGCCAGAACTATATTCCGCTGGAAGGAGCTTCAAGTTCACAGCTGGAAGAAAGGCATATTGATTCTAAGACAGAAAATAAAATTACTGCGTCATTGCTATAATTTTATATAAAGTGTTCTGAAATTATTGTTTCTCTTTCCAGAACAAGTCCAATGCTCCTAGTGAGAATAACTTGACCCTACTGTGTGCTTCTGGTGATCAGACACAGTGGAATCTTGGGCAGGACGACAGTGCCCTGCATGGCAAACACCTCCCTCCATCCCCCAGGAAGCAGGTTTCCTCCAGTGGTTTGACCGATTCTCTGTTTATCCTGAAAGAGGAAAACAGTGAAAAGCCCCTTGGTGCTGACATTGTGAGTGGCCCTTCTGTGGTGGAAAAGCCAGCTTCTACTTTGGGATTGGGTTTTCAACCAGCTCCCCCTGAAGTTTCCCCAATGGATAAAGGAAAAACAGAAAAGAAGGAAACACTAAGTCAGGGTTCAGAGGATCAGCCTGTAGCCAGCCCCGGGCGACGCCAATCTACTCTAGTTCCCTGGGAGAAAGAAGGGAAAGAAGCAAAGGAGCCCCCAGAAGATATTGGACTGCTCCGTGAAGTAGTGTCATTATGTCACTTGCCATGTGACTTCCAACAAGGCTTAAATATATCCGAAGAAAGCAGAAGTGAAAACCAAACTTAAGTTACCAATGGAGGGTCAGTCATTTGCATCTCCCCTTCTAAGGAGACATTTTAGAATTCCATATAATTTGTACAGTGGACAGAATTACCTATAGGAATAACAACTCTTACTGCTATTTAATTGTTTTGCATTAGGAACATTTTCCCCACTTGTTCATCTCACGAATATGTGTTATCCATTGGTTTTCAGATATAAGTGAATCTTCTGCACTACTAAATCAGGTAGTACTTTGTATATGTGCTGAAAATCTGTGTTGAACATAAGCTTTCCTAGTATTTGGTGCTTATTGCCATTCATCCTGTTTAAAGTATGCATAGATATTCTTGCATCTAACCAGTAGCCACTGAACTAATCTGGTTAAGAATGAACTTGTCAAGATGTCAGAACTTATCAAAAAGAGCCTGAAGTTAATGAAATTGTTAACCCACTAATTGCCTTAATCTTAAAGCTATGTTAAGCATACAGATAATTTAAGAAGTTACATGTAAAGCTTGAAAGATAAATTATTTTGTCCTGCAGAGCAATAATGCCTTTTTCTATTCATGGAATGAAGGTCAAAATTTTTTTCAAGGTTTCGAAGCTCTCGTGGAATAATTTTATTTTGTAAAGACACTGCAGCCATCTTTTCCACAAAATGTAAATGTGTAAATTTACCTTTTACTCAGTGAATATATGAAGTGCTGGATACAATGTGAAGTTAATAACTTCTGTTTACAAATAAGCCACTTAAAATGTTCACAATCTGTCTGTCTGCCATTGCTGAGTAAGCAGTCCATCTCAAGAAAGCCAAATGCCATGTAAAGTGTCAGGGAAGGATTTTTATTCTTTTCTTAATAATTCACCATCAAAAAATTCACATCCTCAACTCAAATTTCCTTTTTAAGATAATTAACTTTGTATTTTTAAAAGTTCTAGCTTTATAGGAAAATGCAAAGACAGTACAGAGAGGTCCTACCTACCAGTCTCCTCTATTAGCATCTCATATTAGTTTGCTCCCTTTGCCACGGTACACAGCCAGCCTTGATGCGTTAATAATACTCCTCATGGTGGTCAGAGCTCTGGCTCTTCCATAATGGCCCTTTTCTGTCCTTTACCCCCTTCTGGATTCCAAATTGCATTCCACTGTCAAGTTCTGCAGAGGCTCCCCTTCTCCCAGGCTCTTCACTTGCCTTGTTTTGATGAACTTAAAGGTTTGAAGAGTATTGGTCAGATGTATTGTCCAGCGCCCTGCTCCTGCAATTTGCTGGATATTTTTCGCATTATTAGACTGGGATTATTACAGGTTTGGGGGAATATCACTGAAGTGTCATTTTCACATCTTAGTAAGGGTATATACTGTCAACATGTGTTGATGTTGAATTTGATGACCTGCTGGGTTTCTCCATTATAATACCCCTTTTCTCTTTTGTCATAGTAAAGAAGGAACAGGGGAGGGAGGGAGGGAGGGAGGGAGAGAGGGACAATTAACAGCCCACACAGAGAATTATGCTTTATGTCCTTTAGGGCAGAGGAATATCTAAATAAATCATTTGTAATTTTTTGCTATGGGAAATTTGCCTCCCTCAAATTTACTGTTATCACACATGTTAGACTAGACTTGCAGGAAGAGTCAGGAAGAGAAAACGGAAACCTAGTGATGTAACGCTTAATTTATTTCTACATTCATTGTATTTATTCTGTACCTCAAATCATGATTTTTTTTAATTGTGTTTTTTAGAAAAAGTGTTTGAAAAACCTCTTGAGAACCCCAGTAAGTCTGTGCTCTGGAGTATTAAGTAATTTCAGTTAAAATTCTAGAAGGAGATTTGTTAAACATAGTGCTTAAAGTATTTATGCAGGCCATTTTTAACTTCATTTCAAAATCTAAATAGATGTGTTTTATTTGAGGTAATTGTTGATATGTTTGTAATGGAAGATGGATCTTGTTGTCCTTAAAAAGGTGGACTATTTACCTAGAAAGAGAAAAAGCATTTCATCATTTTTTTACACAAAAGATTCAAGGTTGTTGTCAAATTTTCCCTAGATTTGATCTCCATTGAAGAAAGCCACATATCAAAAGAGCTATTTTTAATGAGAAGGAAAAAAGTTATTGTAATGATTAATCTGCTGGGCAAATAGTCCTTCATAATTTGCAAAAAGGAATACATAGGAGCCTTTAATAAGAATTATGAAAGGAGGCCTTTTTCTGCTTCAGAATTCATTATCTGAACCTGTGTGAAGCATGGAACGTGCTGAGTTTCAGTCCATTTGCTTAGTGAATTCATGCCCATAGTTCCTAATTTTCTGTGCTTTCAGTCACCTTGTAAGGCATGCAGTGGTAATGTTGTGCTATTCTGAGGACATTTAGATACTCTGTAATTGTCTTAAGGTATTTTAAAGCAAACTGTGCCTTACTGCAACAAACAAAAATGACTGTTTTACTCTGTGTTAAAAAACAAAAAATTCTGCACATTGTTTTTGAAAAGAGTCAGAAGACTAGTCGCAGGTTTTGGAAGTCTGTTTTGCAACCTGACTTTCCAGTGTCACTGTGCACAGGCGCAAAGGAAGGGATGTTAGGGTGTGTTCTGGAATAAACTGAGGTATTATTTTCTACCTGACCATATTTTCTTTTAGCCAAACCAAATATTTTTAAGTTCCCCAATGTTCAAAAATATTTCCAAAGCAGCAGCTCCTATTCTACAAAAGGCTCGTATAGCTGCAGCTTGGGCTCTGGTGCTGTGTGTGCCCTCCAGACTGAGCTGTGCCTGCCTGAGTCCCATTCAGGAGTTAGCGTTCACCCTTCATATTACATCCCTGGTGTCCCAGGGGAGAGGGAAGAACGATAAACTTAGGAGCTGTCATTAAGTGAAGATGTTGCTAAGTGCCATATTTTGTGATTACCTAATTTAGCATATCTTATGCATCTCAGTATGGTATTATTATTTTTCTAATTCATAGCTTCCTCACTGACAAGATATTTATTGACTTTTTGTACCAGTCCAGGAGCAAGATATGATAACTAAGTATGTCAGGATAAGGGAGAAAACTAAATAATAACTCTGCTCTGAAGAATTCAATTAGAAGGAAAAAGACCTGCAAATGTGTTATAATAATAACAGTGATAACAATAATATAATACTATACTTGCTTAAAAGGTACTTGAGCAAGAATCAACACCAAAAAGATTCTTTTTTAAGAAATAGATGCTTAATTTAAAGTATGTTCTGAGTACAGAATCATAATACTGTTTCTAATTTTATTAGCTCTCTTAATATTATCACAATTACAAAAATGCTGCTAAGAAACCAATTTTTATAGGGAAGATTAGGAGACATATTGAGAGGCTAAGTTCCTTGTGTCAGACCTTCCACATGGCATGATGCGCCTTTGCAGTACCAAGGACCACTTTCTCCAGCTGAGGAGTAACTTAAGGTATAGATAGGAACCTGGTTATGTTGAAAGGTATAGATGGGAACCCGGCTATGTTGATGGGAGTCCAATTTTTTTTAAAAAAAAAAAAAAAAAAAAAAAAAAAAAAAAAAAAAGACTTGATAACAGCATTTTCTAGAAAAAGCACCCTCTTTTAGATTAAAGCTGTAAGCAATAATGTTGTTACTGGGATTCTATGCTAATGTCCTAATACTGTGACCCAGGAATGCTCACCAAATAGTTATTTGTTAAACGAAGTGAAGAAGACAACTCCTGATCAACAGGAGACAACTGTGAATTTTCTTACAGTCAGTAGACATTCATTCTCAGATTTCCAGGACAAGATTCATTTTAAGTAAATTTTCTAGTGAGAATTTCATTGTATTTGATGTCATTGATCATGAATCTCAAAAGATAGTTGAGAATCAAAATAAAATTCAGCATTGTAAAGCAAATCCCTAAATGTAATATCTCCCCAAGTACTTCTTAATGTAGGAAATAGTTTTTAGAAACTCAATTCAATATGAAAATTTTTCCTCTGCTGAACTCAGTAATTAGTGTGTCGTTCTTAAAACATTTTTAATGGATAGAAAAGTTTTGAGCTAGCCAGTTTAACATGATTTGATTAAGAAATGGGGAATTGTGTATATTTGAATGGAAACATTTTATTTTGGGATATAGGATTTTGTGCAATATTTTTCTTGCATAATTTAGCTTATATAAATATGCACATCTGCTTTCGTGGCAGATGCCTTAAGGTCATATCTTTCAGTATTTGCCTAAAACTGTATGTAGCAATGTTCTGTGTGGTTTCAGAAAAAATTCTTTATATTATTGACAAGAGAAATGTTTTTGTTTATTTAAAGGAATTATGGATATTGCATTATTGTATCAAAACTAACTGCCTCAGCAACGATAAATATGCAATAAAATCTTGTATCTTAGATTAGTATTGACAGTACTGTTACTTAACAGAAATGTTTGTGGTACAAAGTGTTGATTCTATGTGTGTACATTTAACAAACACTCTTTTCTGCACCATGTGAATCTAAATGGCGTAGGTATGATGATGACCGTGTATGTAGATGGTGACATTCTTTGTGATGAATCTTCTCTAAGACTTATAGAGGGCATTGCCAATACTTTGTGATTGTCTATAAATTAATTTTTTGTATGATGTACAGTTTGTTTAGCCTTAGAGCTTCTATAGATTTCTACTTTTATTGTACTTGAATGAGACAGAAAGCACTGTGGAGATATGTAACTCTGGATGCAATATGCAGATATACCAAAAATACAGTAAGGTACTGAACAGCGATGCTAGCTGAATGCTTTATAGCCCAGAAAACAAGGTTTTTCAAGCCACATTTAGTTCAATGAAGTAACTGAAGATATGCAGTCTTTCATCTAGAAGTTTGTAGTCACAAATGATTACCTCTTTGATATATCCAAGCTGTACATCCTTTATGCTTCTGTTTCAGTTCTCAGAGGAGCCTTGTTGATGCCCATCCTCTGGTTACATATGTTTAGTACAGAGCAAATTGACAACGTCGTGCACAGGAGATGTGTTGCCTGTGAAAGTCACCATCTTTTAGATAGAGTAGCTTCATAGATAATTTTGAGAACCCTTTAATAATCATGTACCAAAACCTAGATTTTTAAAAATTGGTTATGATTTACTGTGCCTAAAACAACCACCACTACATAAAGCTTTTTGTCATAAAGGCCATATGAGGGAATCAGCAGAATTTTCCCCAAATTTGTGTCTGTTGCTTTAGCTGAAGAGCTGTTTCAAAGTACCGAAAATCTTCAGCTGTTTGCTCTGCAAAAACTACCCAGCACTGAGATGCGCTTTATTGTTCTTGCATCCTTGAGGCTACAATATCAGTCATCTCCAAACTTGACTACTATTGGGAAGATGTTGTGTATAAAAGTATTGCTTTGGGGGTTTTTTAAATATGCAAAATTAAATTTTGAACTCTGTCTGCATTGCCATAAGGTACCCAACAATGTCATTAAAAATAAAATTGGTCACAATCAAACATTGCATGATACTGGTGACTCTTCTTTTATAACTGACTAGTTATCCTCTGCACTGTTATAGAAGGGCTTTGAGGCTCTGGTCCTTCTCCCACCTTTTAACTCCCTCAATATAAATGCCAGCTTAATTCTTTGTGATTGGCCATTGTAGGAGGTACCTGTTCCATTGTGGACACTTAACTTATTTTATTAGTTTTTAGACATCTTAGTTGCTGTGACAAAATGTCTGACATAACAACTTTAAAGAATGAAGGATTTATTTTGGCTTACAGTTCCAGAGATTTCCATCCATAGCCCTGGGCTTTGTTGATTCTGGGTCTGTGGTGGGGCAGAGCATAATGGTGGTGGGAACAAATGGCGAAGGCTGCCCATCCCATCAAACAACATAACACAGTAGTAGCAGGAAGAGACCAAGGCAAGATCAATCCCCAAAGTTCCTTCTCAGTGAGTTATTTCCTCCAACTAGGCTCCACTTTCCACAGCTCCCCTGCCTCCCAATAATCTATTCAAACTTGGAATTCAGTGGATTATACCATTTATTAGGTCAGAACTCTTATGATCAAATCATTTCTGGTAATGCTTTCACAGGCGCAGCCAGGGGTGTCATCTACTAACCTGGACATTTCTCAAGCAAACCAAGTTAATTCCTTCATAGCAGATTATTCATGGCAGTTGTTTGTTGATCCAAATTTAAGATCCACAGACAGAGGTAAAATACAGACTAAAGCACCTGAGCCATGCTCCAGGGGCCAGAAGATGAACACCTCATGTGAGATCTGTGATGGTTCCACCTAGAAAGTAAAGTGCAAATTTGAGTGGAAAATAGCATGTTTGTTTCCCTTGGGGCTCAAAATATCTAGGACAGTGTGTGGAATGTCTCCTGTTTCAATACACAAAGCAAAGTCCTGACAAGGGAAGTGCATATTTAGAAGCCCAGAGTTCATGTATCTTTTTCTCATTTCAATTGCTCAATTCTTTGCCTCCTTGGTAGGATGAGTCTCACTACTTCTTGGTGCCTCTATCAGGGAGATGGTCATATGTCCATTCTATAAATTCAGAAACGAAAAACCCTGCTTCATTGTCCTTATTTATAAATGAAAGAAAATGCTCAGAAAATATATAAAGAGCCTAAAAAACTCAATGTCTAGTGATAATAGTAAATTAAAAACCATTAAAAACTGTGTGCAAAATGAGCATTGATAATAAAAATAATATGGTACATCATGAGAGACAAGAAAGAGCCTCCAGGTTTTGATTCAATTTGGCCCATTCACCCTGAAACTTATTTCTCTATTTATACAGACATGCCCTTAGGATTATTTAATATTTACTGAAAACATATTTGTGTATAGCAACTGATACATAAATAGCAACTGATACATAATTTGGGGGATTAAGAAATATTCCTGGAGTTGGAAAGATGGCTCAGAGGTTAAAAGCACTGACTGCTCTTGCAGATGACCCAGGTTTGATTCTCAGCACCCACATGGTGTCTAACAGTCACCACAACTCCAGTTCCAGGGGAATCCAACGCCCTCTTCTGACCTGCAGGGGTATTGCACAACACAGGTGCACTTACATACATGCCGGCAATACACTCACAAAATAAAAATAATAAAATATTTTTTAAAATTCCTATTTAAGTTCAATTTGTGGTTGTCTGGAGTATTCAAGTATAAAATATAACTATAAAATCTTGGATTTTATATAGTTCAGTGGCACCCAAACCCTTGTTAATAGAATTACTAGGAGAGCTTAAAATGAAGCAAAATACAGATGGCTCTGTAGTTCCTGCAGTAGATGCTACAGGTAGTTCCCTATAGAGATGAAGAACCTAAGAAACAAAAAAAGATCAATGCCATCCTTAAAATGCCACAGCACTAAATTACCAAGCTGGGGTTTGAACCCCACTTTGTTTTAAGTCTGTGATGGTTAGTGCTAATTGTCAACATGACAAAACCTATAGTCACCTGGAAGAAGGACCTTCAGGCAGATCTGGGAGGGAGTATCATGATTATGTTCACAGAGGTTGGAAGATCCACCACTGTGAGGGGCTGGTTCCCCAAAGCAGAGGATTCTGGGTTATGTAGGACCAGAGAAAGCTAGCTCAGTATGAGCATACATGCATTCCTTGCTCTTCAGACTCTGGGTGCAATGTGAGCAGCTCCCTTAGGCCTGCTGCTGTGACATCCGTGCCATGATGAATTATAACCTGAAACAAGGAGTTAAAACTTTTCTCTCTAAATCACTTTTGTCAGGGTATTTTAAAAGCACCACTAAACCACAATAAAATATAAAAGCAACACCAAAGAGAAGACTTGTATGTGCCCTGGGACCATAGAGGTGTCCTGAGAGCAAAACCTCACCTCTGCAGAGGCTTTATCCAGCGAAGACTCATTAAAAGCCCAAGCTGAGCCAGGTGTAGAGGTGCACGCCTTTAGTCCCAGCACTCAGGAGGTAGAGTCAGGCAGTTCTCTGTGAGTTCAAGGCCAGCCTGGTCTACATAGTGAGTTCCAGGCCATCTGGGGCTAAAGGGAGTCCCTGTCTCATAAACAAACACACAAACAAACAACAAAGAAAGCCCAAGCCAAAGGGCTTTTCTGCTTCTCTAAAGCAGCTCCTTAGGAAAATGTCCCCCCAGGGTTAGTACAGAGAAGCTGATACAGTTGCCGTCCAACCTGGCCACTCTCCATCAAGCTAAATACATCATTAATTCATTGCTCTCTGCTCTTGACTGTGGATATAAAGTGACTAGCTGCTTCAACTTCCCACCATCATGATTTCACTGTAACTGTGAGACAGCCAAACCCTTTCTCCCTTAAGTTGCTTTTGTCAAGGTATTTCATCACAGCCACTGGAAACCTAAGACAAGCCCCAAGGTTGTTACTCAACAATGTTATACAGAGCATAAACGTCGTGGCTAAGGGAAATTCCTGCAGAACTTCCTTTCCTATCTCAACTTCCCTTCTTAAGTCCTGGATAATTCTTTCTTTACAGAAACTATGCATGTGTTTTTTAATTGAGTATTGAATTTCC